ACTATAATTAAAATTGTGCAGCAAATAGACTTAAACACTACAATTTTAGCAAAAATAAATCCACATGTCATTGCAATATGTGCATATTTTAAAATACAAAATCTACCCGTGTACCTGTTCAAAACAATCTAAAAAGCTTAAAATTGTAGATTTTTACAGGCATTAGTTTGAATAAAAGTTTTTCTATCCGAAGGCATCTTTAACATCTTAATCTATTTCACAAGTCAATTCTTCCTATATTTTCAAAATCATCCAAATGAAAAATATTAATTCGAAAAAGTTAAAAATTTCAAAATATTAGTTATGTACAAAATACGTATTATCAGAATTGTAATTTGAGATTATTTCCGTGTCCTCAAATTTCTCTAAAATGTAAACGGCGAAAATAAAACATATATTTTCCCTACCTCTTATTATGCTCGGATATATCTCTTTTAAAAGTATAAATTAATACAGCATTATGTGAGGTGGATATACACATCAGGTGCTTCTGTGTTCACTTTATGCGTGCAGTTTTTTGTCGTTAAGCCAATACTGTACTCTTAAGCATGCTCTTAGCTTACTTGTGCACTTGGCATGATGTCGTTGTAAGAAATGCTAATAGCGTTTGTCAGATTAGCCTGCGCATCAGCCTTTCTTTGGGGTGGCAACCCGCAGGCTAGCAAGCGCGCGGCTCCACAAGAAATGATAATAATATCCACGGCAAAATTATGAGCTGACGTCATTCTCACGCAGTTAACAATGTTGTGACGTAATTATCGAAAGGGTCTATTTACATAAAAAGTAAATCCAGCAAAAAAATTCGTCTGATCGAAAAATTCCGCCTGTGGGTAAAACCGCTTTGCATGATTGGCTAAATGAGGTTTTCAATGTGTCTTTGCTGAAGTGTTAGCCTTGACATGCAATAGCCTCAAACATTAAATTGTGGTGGCTGAGATTTTGCTTTGACAAGTCTATGTCTTGGTATTACCTAAGCAAATCGCGATACATCACAAACAATCTTAATAGGCAGTACACAAAACAAAGTCACAGCGTGAATGTGCTCCCTTAGATTTTTGTAGTTCGCAAACAAGGATTCAGGAAAGTAGCTAGAAGCTTAATTTAGAGGGGTGTATATTTATCATTTAATAATATATACCGTATATTCTAGTCTTCCGAAGACAATTAATAGAGTGTAGTGTAAACTGCGCTAGAGGAAAAATTACCAAATATGACCTCGATTAAAAATCATGAGGAAAATCGCGTACTTCCGCCTCGGCTCTGTAGATTCTGTAAAAACCAATTGAAATTCAACACTCTTTTCACGGCTCTTCCATACTTAATTGTTCTAAGCAAAAGGCGGCCTCGACATGGAAATATGCGATTTTCACCAAGATATTTCAACGAGCCCGTAACAGATCACATACAAAAAACATATTCAACAGCGAAATCCCTGAGCTATCTTGCTATCACAAAATTTTGTGATAACTATCACAAATGTGAACTATCAAAAATGCTCTTGGCAGTGATGGTATTTACGTGTAGATCCAGTGGGGAAAAGTGTTGTTATTAAATTAACCAGCACAGCAGCAGGAGGGTTGTGTGTCCAAGAGCCCTTTAGGGTTAGTTCAAAGTGTTATTGCTAAAGTCTAGTGCCTACCCAGCATACAATGTGTCCTGAAAATGTCGAGGTCCAATACAGATTTATATATATAACTAATCTCAAGGTGCTCCACATCTTTTTTCTTCATAATTTGACAAAAATGCACAGGTTGTTCATAGATATTACACACTAATGAAGCTGCAATCTATTGCAGGATTATGCTATATGATATTATCATAGATTATAATAAATTAAATAACTTGTGGGATGTGATACCATACCGCAAGTCATTATTTAATATCTACAGGGTGTATCAAAAATAAGGAGACCTTTAGAAATCAAGCTATTGTTAAAATTTGAATGCTTTTTCAATTGCATTTGCACATATGCTAAACCGTAGTGCGTGAAATATTGATGGCATGCATGCATACATTAGAAAAAGGAGACCTTTAGAGAATGAATTGACGTTTGTACACAAGATTGTCTGCTCCTGGGAATTTGAAAATAACTTTAATAGCATAAGGAAAAATAACGACCCAAAAATATTCAAATGACTAAGCACAAACGACTAAGCACAAAAGCGATAACAATATGCGTGGTGAATTGCTTTAGCTGTTCCTTCAAAACATGAACAAATCATTTGTTCAATTTTTAACACTGCGTGCGAGCATTAGGGCTGTTCACATGAGTTAGAATTGACTTTGATCCGGAATGGCTCAGCATCCCAACATTTTACAAATTCTGCCTATTAAAATGTTTACATGAGTCAGGAATGAATTACAACTTGATCTGACACAGATTCACTTGACATTTCGATCCGGATTGAAAATTACTGATAAATTGAACATCAAAAGAACTGAATGTCATGGACCATGACCTCCAACGTGGCCTCCATTTCTCTCAACACAAACTACCGTACGCTTGTGCATATCGCGAACTGCTTTTCTGATGACTGCAGGCTGGGTATAAGTTCGGAATACAAAAACTCTTCGCTCCAAAGTCAGCTGAACCATTTTTGTTCTGGTAGTGTGCTTAGTCATTTGTATATTTTTGTGTCGTTATTTTCCTTATGCTATTAAAGTTATTTTCAAATTCCCAGGAGCAGACAATCTTGTTTACAAACGTCAATTCATTTTCTAATGTATGCATGCATGCCATCAATATTTAACGCACTACGGTTCAGCATATGTGCAAATGCAATTGAAAAACGGGCATTCAAATTTTAACAATAGCTTGATTTCTAAAGGTCTCCTTTTTTTTGATACACCCTGTAGTGTCAAATCATTGATCAATTTGGCACTCTAGTTAACAGTTTCATATTTCACATCTTAAACCAGTCTGACGATTTAGTCCCGCGATGCCTAATTTTCATTTATTATCGGTTATTTTAATAGACCATTGTTTTCACAGTTGCTCAACACCAAAATTTTTGCATTGCATCACAGAAGGACTAATTTGCCATGCTGGCCAAGCCGAGTAAATTATCGTGATCTCATTAGCACTCCACACCGATATCACGATCATGTTGGCAGGTTAAAGTAGGCATATTCCATCCAGCATGGCTGCAATCCCAGATGTATAATTCATTTTTACTGCAGGAGACTTCAGAAAGCAATACAGGACCACTTCCTTGGCCAAAGTACCTCATATTTCGTAGTCCAGCGAAACCCAATTGACGACAGGTGACATCACCAACATAAAACGATACTATTTCTCTAGATTGTATTTCACAGATTGTGCCCCAGCCAAATGTTGGATGATATATTTCCACTCTTCCGCTCATGTTAGTACTTGAACCATTTAATCGGATTTGCAGTTCTGAGTGGGCTATAATATAGACAGTTACACACATGTATATGAAGCTGTTGTATCTGCACCGCGCAATTGTTATTCAGTGTTAATGTTTTCTTCTTTGTCAGCTGATCAGATGACCTTTAAAAATGGTTGGCTCACTTTAACTTGCATTTTCTGTGCAAATACTTGGCCGATTTTAATAAAAATTAAACCATTTAAAAGAGGACATTGTCCTCAGTAGATAGATGTTTTTTAGTTCTATATGTTTCAAATTCGCTATGATATTTACTTTAGAATGCATGCGATTTAGCTATTATTCGATATTATACCTCAAAGCGGCCTAATCCTTAGAATATTGCCCAAAACGCAAACAAAAACTGGTTACCGTGATTTAGTTCACATCTCTAGGATCATTTTGATATATTTACCTTCAAAATCGTGCCTTTAGACGATTTTTGCCGATTTTTTACATAAACATTCATAATCTGCATCATGGTATGTATTATCGCATCGCTCACTGCATAGTTATTGTAGTAATAAAAAGATTCACCAAAAATTTCGAACAAAAAAAACCGAAAAACTGACCCCCTTGGTCCAATTTTACGCCAGGAATCTATTTTTGGGGTCAAAATTAGCCTAAAAGGTGGGTATCACAGACTTTTGTCACATTTTTGAACCGCGTGACAACATTCCGAGCAAGCGCTAAACACGCGCTTAGCAACGCTCATCAAGGCTCATCGCTAAGATCTTAAAATGGCTTATTTCTCCGATTCTCTTGCACATCCTAATCCAAAAATACATCGAAGTTATAACAGAATGATAATAGGCAAAATTAAGACAGTTTAAAGCCAACAGAGAACAAAATAAATTGACAAACATGAAATTTCGAAAAGTATATGGTTGCCATGGGCAAGTAATTTGAGATAACAACGCAAGCTAGTATTTTGGCTTATATTACAAGTGCGGCTTATAACTATCTGCCAATTTGAATATAGCATTTATATGACCTCTTCAAGCGCTATCGTTTGGTGGTATTTCGGTATCTTTAGCCTAAATACTTGCGGAGATATTCAATTTAAGCAACGGTCCCTTCTGTGACACCCGACATTAGGACCAGCCCATAATGAGAAGCAACTTTTTTATGGTTTCAAGTCAAATCACATAATATTATTAATAGTAGATGGAGAACTTGGTGTTGAAATATTTCTAGGATCCCTGCACCTATAGCACGATTCTATACAACATCAGTTGAGCATATATAGGCATCGTCATATAGTCGGGTGTTTCATGAACACAGACAAAGATGTCTTAGAAAACACCAAAATCGTTCTTTGACACCCCCCCCCCCCACTATGTCCTTAATATAATTTTTCGTGAAAGATTTAGTCATTCCTTGAAATTCCAAAATATATTATTTGAAAACGCGATATGATATACCTTCGGAAATTTATGTATCTTGTTAGAGGGTATGCGAGATAGAGGCCGTAAAAATTTCTTCAAATTTTTTATGCGAAAAGTGCCGGAAAAAGATAAGACTTCTTGCTTTCAAATTACCATAGAGACTCGCTACGGCAGGTTGTAACAGGTTTGAGGGAAATTAATGAACTAAAATGCGAGCACATACCTGAGCATGTAACTCCATCGAAAATGGTCCCAGTCTTGCAAGTACAAACGAAAGAACCTGGTGTGTTTTTGCACGAGCGTTCAAAACCTTTTCGATTGCATGGTGATGACAGACATTCATCGATATCTAAACGGAATAGTAACGATATCTGAATTAAAGCGTATAGTAACTATTAATTATATATATATATATATATATATATATATATATATATATATATATATATATATATATATATATATACAGTCGTTATTAAGATTGTCCATGTCAATATATATACAAATATATAAATATCAATCACGTGACCATTAAACATGGCTTATTTTGTTCACTCACCTCTTGTTTCTTTATTATTATTAATCTTGTTTACCTTAGTATGATATTTAAGAAATTTTCACGATAGATTTCCAACGATTTCCCATACAATTAACGTATGCAGTACAATCACGTGATCGATATTTAAATATTTATATATATTTCTAGGTGACAACCTTAATGATAACGACTGTATATATATATATATATATATATAATATATATATATATTATATATATATATATCCAAGTGTAATTGTTTGTAATGGATAAAAGAGTGCTCAATACTAATTACAAGTAGAGCGAATCATTTATTGAATTTATCTTAAAATATTGTCGTCGCTACAATCTTATTCGTTAAAAATAGTTTGATTAATTCCAAAATCGCCCTATTTTTGAGCATTAATCACATCGTTTATAAGCCAATGAGATTGACGTTCTGCACCACAATAACCAATCAGATTTAGTATTTCAGTGTAACTATCCAATCAAATTACATGGGAAAATGGCCCAAAATTCTATTATTTTGAAATTTAAATGCCCCGCAAATTTTTTGACAAAAATAGATGAGAATTACTCGCATTTTACACCGTTTACGGTTCTTTCAGCCGATAAATCGTTTTGAATTTGTTTATTTTTGTATGATTTCAAAATGAATATAATAAAGTGGAAATTGCTCTTCGTGTCGTGCAATTTTGGTGTGAAATCAAACTTGTGATTACAAATTTTCTATAATCTCGCTGTAGATTTCACATCAAATTGCACTCCACTCAACTCAGTGTAATTACCATTATTAATTGTCCTGTCTAGCTTAGATACTCCTGTCTGAGACTTTATGATTTAATTCAGTATGGGAGACAGTAGTTCTGGCGAGTAGGTCTACCCGGGAGGTATACAATATACTCCTAGTTTGCCAAAGATATTGCCTTTTTAAGAAGAATTCTATTGTCTTTAAAGTAAAAAAATGTTGAGGCATCGACATACATTTTTAGAAACACGAGAGTTTTGGAGAACGAGAAATAATCTAAAGTAAGGATCCGCGCTTTTCTTTCATAATGGGTCCGTCAATCCGGACCATCATCAGTGCAAATCAAACTTTTCTCCCAGTCACCCAAATCTTTTATATTAAAAATGTTGTGATCAGCTGCTCCTATTTCTCTTCTCTAGGATCTTCGTCGTTTTAGTCGTGTCTTCTTAGTCTATTCTGTAAGGTTGAGTTTCTTAACGTTTCATATGCTTTTTACTCCGTTAGTCCACTGAAGGTTCGGGTGCTGTGCGCGTTCTTTTATAATAAAATTTGAGGGGATCTCAAGACGCCCCATGGAAAGTGCTGTGATTCGCACTATCTAATCAACGCTGTATGTTACAAGTGTGGGTTGGCGTCAGAAGCTCGGTCCAGCTCTCATATTTTGTTTACTTAAGGGCGGTGACGCACTAGTCGAGTTGGTCTTTTGCTTAATCGATCATTGTTAAAACTTGTTCACAACTTAAAATATTTATCATCAACTTAAAGTACAATTACCAAATTATTACTTTGTGAACCACTTCTTAAACTTATAAACTTTTTTACTAATAATTTTATCAAAGCGAGCTTTTCGTGACGTAAGACTTCAAATGCTTAGTCGAGCAAAACATAACAAAGAAATTATTGACACAACCTCGTATATCCGCCGAGAAGTTATCTTCTTGAATCTTTACACTTGTACTTTGCAAGACGGTACTATTATTTGGGAAGAAATCCCATGGGCTGTCACCTCATGACAGGAAAAGTAAATTTGTCATTCCGAAGGATCATAATAATATTTACTTTACAGGTCATTTTATGTGACATGTTCCCAAAGTAATTTCCTCATCGATACTGACCTTTCTATTTTTGAACAATGCTAAATACATTATAGCTATATTGGTATTTCGTAACAGCACAACTAAATTGTGTGTTTCCCCAAACAAACGTTCAAATTTACTATTATATCGCAATGCGAACTTATAATGGTACGTCGGGCTGGGAAAAATAGTAGGTAATTATTTATCATACATACCTGTGCAAGCATGTCCGTTGTATTTGAAACCCTTATCACAATGACAAATTTCAGAGCCTTTAGTGCTAGAACAGTAACCGTGGAGACATGAAAGCTTTACGCATCTTCCTTTGAATGAAAAATTAATAAATATTTAATTATCAGTGACAGGGTTTGAAATGTGGAAACAATTTACCCTTTTTATATACAAGAATACAACTGGTCTTACTATAAAACTCTCTGTGGGTATTAAATGGTGTATTTTAAACGGGAATACGTTTAGTTATAGTTAAATAATGATTAAAGTTACCCAGCCAGTGCATCACCAGTTGTCGCGGCAAACACTTTTCCTAAGCAATGTATTTCAATATGTTTTTATTTTCATAGACGTTAAGAATGTGAAAAACATTTCTCGACTTGCAATCTCATCAGTATCAACATATTTCTAGCGACCTACATTATTTCGATGTTTGAAGTATTAGTTATTATTTTATGGCTTTTCAAAATCCTCTATTCCGATTGGTTGACGAGAGGTCCGTATAAACCAATGTCAGGACCGTGGTCTGTATATTCCGTATCTGGACCAGTATCTCGACTGTCTCACGCATGCAGTTCAGTGATATAATCAACCAATTAATTATTGACCTGGCTTGTTCAAGTCTGTAGATGAAATATCAGACCAATTTTTTTTTGCCTGCACTTAAAAATTTATTTTGGAATTACAGTATTTATATTGTTTTAACCATTTAAAAATTGCTCATTTCTGAAGGTAACATTTATCAGGCTATACAGTGCGAACCACAATATTAGTTTTATAATAGATTTAAGTAATACTGATTCATTTAAATAAGCCGCATAATTCACATGAATCTGTGATCATTCGCGGAAAATTGTGGAAACATGTTTACATTTTATGTTAATCACGTGATTAAAAAATCCAGGTCATGTATACAAGAGGTGCATGATCCACGCTAGTAGTTTAAAAGTCTGTGATCACGATGGGACGAGGTGAAGACCTAATAGAAGGCGAGAAAAGCGTTATTATCAAAGAAATAGCTAAGGGTAAAACACCGAAAGCTATAGCTGAAAAAATAAGTCGCCATGTTGTGACATTAAAAAGGTTTTTGCAAAATCCTTCTAAGAGGAGATCTCCAAGGAGGTCTCCAAAAAGAAGGTGGTGGCGTAAAGATTTGGGATTCGTGCTCCTGATGGAGTAAAACTGACCGTATTGCCAGTCACGTATTGCCAGTTTTTGAAGAATGTCCTTGAACCATGGCTGGATGACCTTCCATTGTCACAACTAAAGAAGATCATCTTCATGTATGACAACTGTTCCCGATTAATGAACAGTCAGTGCAAATGTTTTATAACAAGATAAATCACAACTTTATTTCGACAAAGCTCAAAAATATAGCCTAAAATTCAATCTAAGATTCCGAACCACGCTGAAGCGTCCGAACAACGTTTTTCTACGCCCGCGTCCCCGCTTAAGCGGTCACAACTACTAATACTTCATAAAATATTAATATCGTTCGTTAACAACAACGCTGCGTTCCATGCGACAAAAACTACAACAGCGTTTTTGAAATGTATTGGATTCGTGAATGATAACCTAATGATTTGCCTCCAAACTCCCTGATTTAAAAAATCGCATTGTGGTCGATCATTAACCGCCAGGTTTATGCCGATGAGAAGCAGTATTCCTCCAAAAATGCCATGTGCATGGCAATAGAAAAATCCGCAACTTCCATCCCTAAGTTTACCATTAAGAAACTCACATATTCATTGGTCCACCGACTTTTTTATGTGATCAGACTTCACGGGGATCATGTCAGCAAATAACTCAATTCAATGAATGGAATCACTTGGTGTTCCATTTCTATCAGTTTGTGAATTTCTAAAATTTTGTGTCAGTGTATCAACAATGAAAACCGACAATTTCAATAAAATATTAGGTAATAAACGATTTTCTGATGGGATTAACGCCGCTTTTCCGACATGAAACTAATATCGCGATGTGCATACTGTAGTCCCCCGCTAACTCGAACTTGCTTAACTCGAATTCCTCGCTAACTCGAACTAAATCCAATTCCTCTTGAATTTGACAGTGTTTTTTATAGTAATTTACTCTGCTTAACTCAAACTCGCTTAGCTCGAACTCCTCACTAATTCGAACAAATTTTGTTTCCCCTTGGTCAAATATATCCGGTTAACTCGAACTTTGGTTTCGAATCATAGATCTCCTAGGTCAGCGAACTTTAAAATGTGAGAAGATAGAATTTTGACAACTGGAAACTGTCAAAATAACAACAAGTTAATAGGTGTATATATAATTGTATATAAATGCTTATAAATTTAAAAGATTTTGTGTGGTGCTACGTTCATTATTGATCTAACTTTTTTAGTTCCTATGTATTCTTTCGATTTTTTAAATTTTTTGAAAAATGTCGTCCACTCTCGCTGACCATTCATATTGGGAGGCCTGGTATCCCTTGAAGAATGATTCGATTGGATTTTATACCTTATTGTATTACTTATAATAAACGTACTCTGACACCAACTCCGGTTAACTCGAACCCCCGGTAACTCGAACAATTTTTCCTTCCCCTTCGGAGTTCGAGTTAGCGAGGGACTACTGTATTTTCTCAATAAGAATTTTTAAACTTTAATTAAATTTTTGGAAGGAATATTTGAGAAGTTATACAACCTTGAATAGTTTCACGCCAGGATTGCGTAAATTCAATACCATTGTATGAAAATTTCTATTTGAACTAATATCGTTGCTCGCACTGTAGAAACGTACCTTTTGGCTGTCGATTTTTGTCTACGACCAGAAGACTTTTTGCATTGTAGCTTTTTGGTAACCGAATATGACCTAAATTATTTTTGCTGGAGATGTTCATTATATTTATAACGATCGATTTTTCTGTTTTCCAGTAAATAACGCCTCCAATAACATCCTGTATATAACTACCAAACACTTGAGTAATTTGGTTCTTTCCACGACCATAGTAATCCATTTCAATCACGCTATCTTTTTCCGCCCAGTAAGTAATCGCGTACACTTTCTTGCTGTGATAATCTAGAGATACAGGGCCATCATGTGAGACAGGTAGATTAGAAATATTCTTTGATAATATATTTTCATTTTTAGTTGCCAAGACTTTTTTTCCAATTCCAAACATCTCAGTCCAAAAGAGGAATCTACAGAGAAACAAAATACACACTACAGCGATCACGTGATGACAGTGGCTGCAAATACCGTGATTCAGGTAAGATATTAAATTTCAAAATATCAGAAGGTCATTTAAAGGTTATGTTCTTTGAAGTTTTGCATGGGGTTATTAAATATAGTTGTTAATTGCTTGTGATTTACACCATGTAATTTATTAAATTTCTAATTACAAACGAACTACGTACGCAAGCACAGAGACGTGCGAAAGCATGAGAGCTATGAAAAACATTCAATTGTGTAAGAAGAAGGACCGATGAAAGGGATGCAAACCGTGTTGATAGGTTCCTTATCAGTAGTAGGTTTAGGTGGGGTAAAATCCAGGTAAAGGACTTGCTGGAGATGGTGTAATTAATAGTTGATGAGTGGGCACGGGCCCGGGGGACTAAGGTTCTGCAAACAGAGGTCAAAATTCTAGGATGATGGAACGATCGATAGTTGAGGTAGCGGTAACAGTATGTGTGGGTTTTCGGTAGACGGAGTAGTTAAGGAAGCCACTAGGATTTCGGGTGAATCTAGGAAATGGTAAAGAATGTTGCTGGTTTTCAATTTCCATGGTAAAGGTTATATTTGGGTGTAGACCATTGAGATATTCCAGAAGATGATTTAGTTCTTCAATACCGTGAGACCAAAATTAATAAAGAAAACGTCATCCACATAACGTTTCCATAATTTGGGTTTGAATTGACAGTTGGCTAGTGCTTCTTTCGAAGTCTTCCATGAATATATTTGCTAGGATTGGAGAGAGAGGCGAGCCCATGGCTGTGCCACTTGTTTGTTAATAGAATTGATCTCTCCACTGGAAGCAAGTTGAGGAAAGGCAAAGTTTAAGTAGATCAATAATTTCCTCATTGAATTACACAATCTCCAGCAAGTCCTTTCTTGTAATGGCTTTCACGATAAACAAATCAACCTGGATTTCACCCGACCTAAACCTACTACTTATAATGAAAATGAACCTATCAACACAGTTTGCATCCGTTTCATCGGTTCTTCTTCATACGCGATAGAGCGAATCCTCAGAAATAACAATATTAAAGTTTCTCATAGCTCTCATCTAAAAATAGAGCAACTATAATATTCTCACAAAGATAAAACTCCAGCTAACCAGAAACCCGGCGTATACCGTATACCTTGTGCATGAATGCGGTTTGGTATATATCGGCGAAACCGAACGTAATTTGAAAGTCAGGCAAAAAGAAAACGACCACAAATTTAAGTGGGAAGAATCAACCCTTCGTGCTCCTGTGAACAATTACTTTCATCGTATAACTAGGGAATCTATTGAGATATTCAAACACAAAACTATTCTAAAGGAAGGGAGACCTCTTGATAACATAATTATGTTCTTGTTTGCTCTAGTTCTTGCATGCTTAGTTTTTCTATTAGAGTAGAACCTTTATCTCTTCTTAATTTAACCGTTTATAATTGCGTGACTTTGTTGCGTGATGTGCTTACGTACATAGTTTGTTTGTAATTAAACTTTTCTCTGATGATGGCCTGAGCTCACGGGCCGAAAGCTTAGAAATTTAATAAATTACATGGTGTACATCACAAGTAATTAACAACTACATTTAAAGATTTTTTACGTCTTCAAAACATTTTCCTTTCGATGGAAAAACAGCCATCTTAGAGAAAGTGAAGAAGCCATTTATAATATTCCGCCAGAAGCTTAAGACCAGAAGGGGTTAGTCAAGCAAAGGTGGAGCATTATGGTTTTGTATGAATAATTCTAGGTGTGTGGCTTCATTGACACTTTGACTGTCGTAAAAAACCATCATTGAATATTAATAACAAAATTATTGCGAAAGTAGCAGAAAAGAGAGAATTGCAATAAAAACGGCCCTTGCATCAGGTTACTTTAATATGCAATACTTACCCTGCGATGGGGTCAATTGCTAATCCGAAAGCAGTGAAGGATGGAATTAGCCTTCCTTTATCCTTGCCGTCCAATGTTGCCACAGTAATGCTACCTGGGTGGCTACAACTCCAGAAAATACGACGTCCTATCCAATCGATTGTTAATGCTAACACCAATGCATCTTTTACAACGACTTCTTCATTTGTGCCGTCGTAGTTCGCTCGATAAATCGCTTTCCTATATTCTGCAAAGTATATTTTCTTGTCCACCGTATCAATATCTAGCGAGTTAACATTTTGTTTACTAGAGATTATCACTGTGTCATCAAGTGTAGTCAAATCTACCGATAAGATTCCACGCAGGTTACCCAAGAACAAATATTGCTCTGGTAAGGTCCTAGGAAATGAAAATTTTTAGAGATGGGTAAAGTTGGAATTTTGGAATTTATGTCCGGCCTAGAAAAAAAAAACTCCTCACCTTGAATCAGTAAACTTAAGACTGATTTCATTGGCTTAATACAACAGTGCAATTACACTGGCAAAGGGTGAAATTAATGCTCAAATTGCAATCCTCCTAGCTAATTAAATTGTAGTATTTGCAATAGATTACGGCGGATGTTATAATTTGTGCAAAAAATAATATCAGAAATCCGTTGTATTGTCGAAATGAGAACTGAACATCGTTTTCATTATAAAACTATGACTGTTTTTCGCTATTTCGAGCGCATGTTATTTATTGCGGTTTTTTTTTAGAAAATTTCATTAGAACGTGAACCTACAATCATGTGCAAAAATTATGAGACTTTACCTATTTTAAACATATTTTTTTCATTTTGACAACTATTTTGTAAAGTTTTTCGTTTTATTTTTCCCTTCACCCATTGACAATGTTGAGAGTGATATTTCGGTCAATCAAATAACTTGGTATCATAGGAACGACATTGCTTTGGGGGGAGAGGGGTAGATACTAGGTGTAATCGCCGTGTCTCAATTTTTGCACATGATTGTAGTCGAATTTACCTAAAAAAGTCGTTGTACGTTAAAAAACATAATTAATTTAAGTACCATCATAGAAACACATGTCCACATGTATACGCATTCTGTTCTTGTGGTATTCCTTCGCCGTCTGACAAGTTTGAGATTTAACCTCTTTTCCAATTTTTGCGTTCAAACATCTGGTCTGCCATGCTTTGACGTCATCTTTAAGTTCAGTCAATTGTTTGTGACAAATGGGGATATCCTCGTTTCCATTGATCAGATTTCCACCAAAATATATCAAAATCATCATTCGAATACGGCAATCATTTTCGAAATAAAAAATTCCTGGTGAACAATGATAAATTGTTGCAATTTGCATAATGACTTTGTGCTCGTAGTACCGATTTTGGGAACAAAATTTAATTTCGGGAACAAAATTTAATTTTGGGAATAAATTCAAATGTTATAAATTATTCCTTTTAAAGTTTTTTTTTAAAATCGACATTGAAAATTTTCAATCAGCTAGTTTCGTCGTCATTCAAATGAAGCAGATAATTTCCTAAGCTATAGCCAGACCTAATCTTATATTATCCCGAGTCGGTGCGAGGGTACTAATTCCGTCCGGAGATTTTAAATTACGCTCGGGAATGCAAAGTTATGCGCATGCGTGAGTTCAAGACGAGTTACTGAAACTGGTAACTAGCAAACGTTTACAAACGTGCGATTGGCCAAATAAAAATTTAGGTCACGTCAGCATAATTGATATTTTGAATTGTAACATTTTTTAAATAGCATTTTTCGTTTGTATAGTCTTAAAAATATACGAAAAAGTGAATCGTAAAATTGTAAAATTTGGTAAAGTATACATTTTTCAAGGTGAATATGTTTGAAAAGTAATTGAAATTTCGTTAAAAATTGTAGCACAATTATGATTATAGCCGAATTTGATACCTTTACTTTACGACTTTGATCATTCAGCAGAAACGAGTATTACAGAATTTCACTGTAAAATATATGTTTGTTGCCTCAGGCGAGGGGACTTTGCATGCATGTATAATTTCAGTATGGAAAAATGGCTTTCGAGCATTCTTATTGGCTCCCTCACCAGTAACTATATGAGGCATAGTCACTGGTCAGACGGCTCTCAGCAGAAATTAGTGCTTACCTGTTAACATAATATTGCTGAAAATTCTTCGGAATTTCTCTTCAATAGGCTATCTTTAAAACCTGGAACGGGGAATCAAGGAACGGGGAACGAGAAAATTTTAAAAGCCGGAATGAGAATCTCCGAAATGAGAAACATGTAAACAATTTGAATCCCTTTACACCCCAGCAAATTAATGTGACAGTTCAACAACCCTAAGTAAATGACAATTGAAATGTCATATATACAACAAAGTGAAATATTGTCAACCTGTTCGGAAAACAATTAGCTAGTGACAAACCAAGTGCTGCTTTTTTAACCAAAGGCTATGGTGTGTGCTGGATAAACAAGATATTAAATTAATATTGTTATAGGTAGGCCTTTGATTTCTTTCTTCTAAGGAAAGGTTATGGTAATAATTTCATTTGTTCAAAAGATGCATGCTGAAATCTAGCTAAACTTCCACTTTCTGGTCTAATTGTGGTGTGATTAAAATCAGATTGGGCTGTCTATGTGCGTCCGACTGGCTCTAGTGGAAAAAAATGTACCAAATCTGGCTACACTGGGAGCACCCCGGGTTACACCCAGGAGGAGACCTGTTACTACCATTAAGCATTGAAATGGTAAGGGCAGGGAAGGGCAAGGGTTTCAGTGTTTTTCAGTTTATTAGAGCTAGAACTGAGTGCTAGCTTTTCTAAACTATTTTCAATGTTAATAGTAATATTATTTTTTTTTGACAAAACTTACTTTTAACATTTTTAATCACAGAAGATATGATGCACCTGACTACACAAAAGATAGTAAGTTCACTTTGTAACGTTTTTTCATGTCATGTGGACATGTATTCATTCATAATTCCATCGTATTGAATGACTTCTGCCATTTAATTGTCCATATTCCAATGCAGGTGTAAAACCAACACAGCAATATGATAATTGACTGTTTTTTATGCATAAAAGTTGATATCGAATGACACAACTTTCTTAATATATTGAACGGGATGTTATTTTATCAGTAAAATATCACACTTTGTTTATATGTTTCGCATTCCGGGTTTCATAGATTCCGAAGATTCTCATTCCGGGTTTTAAAGATTTCGGAGATTCTCATTCGGGTTTTAACGATTCCAGAGATTCTCATTCCGGGTTTTAAAGATTTCGGAGATTCTCATTCCGGGTTTTAACGATTCCAGAGATTCTCATTCCGGGTTTTAAAGATTCCGGGGGTTCTCATTCCGGGTTTCTCATTTCTTTCTACCCACCATATACCCATAATTTATACTTTACATATTTCATGCAGCAGCGTGCTCTCAAAATTTCTGCCTTGGTCTGAGTGCAAGACTGTTTGGGGCCAAACCTGGAGTGGCGCAACTGTGCTGGCTTTTTGATCGGGTGTTGCAAACGCTTTACACCACTTGGTGAAATGATCGACAACAACTAAAATGTGTTTGTTCCTTCGAATGGTCCCTGGCAACGGTCCCATGTAATCCATATTGGCCCGCACCAATTGTCTTAAAAACAGCTTTAGTTATAGTGGTGCGGTTTTGTGGAACAGGCTACCTAGCAATATCAGACAAGTAGAATCGCCAAATGAATTTCAAAGATTATTGAAACGTCATATTCGATAAAAACGGCATTCATGGAAAACAGGTTCATTTGTATTTGTAAAAATTTCCCCGCCTCTTATCTGGTTCAGATATTTCTTTTCAAAGAATAAAAATAATGCTTCTTTATACATTAAGCAATATTATGTGATGTGGATACACAGATCATGCAGGTGTATATCTGTGTTTACTTTATGCCGCGTGCGGTAACTTGTCATCAGGCCTATGCTGTACTTAAACATGCTTCTAAGCTTACTTGTGCACTTGGCATGATGTCGTTGTTGGGAATATAAACGTAGTAAGTTATTGACTTACTCACGAATTTACACTGTACAAAACAGCACTTTCTGAATTTCAATATAATAAATTATTTATCTCCTGTTTGCCTTTGAAATAAATCAATATTTCAAATTTTCGTGTTCACTTTACGCGTTAGGCCTACAATGTACTTATAGACCTGCTCGTAGCCTACTTAGGGAATATACGTAGTAAGTTATTGACGGTTGTCACATGAAACAAATAATGCTACTGCGCATTGAGTGTGGTAAATGATTCTTTCATTATAAAAACGAACGATTTATCGTGTTTAGAAATGATGGAATCATCGGAATGACACTGCATGAGAACCAATTTAGCGTTTTATCATGCACATTAGTGATATAAAATTACTTAATGGTTTCCGTGTTTCGATGGCCTGATCCAAACACGCGGGAATGTTGCGAGAGTTTAGAAAAGCGCGCGAAACACAAGCCGAAAATTGTTTTATAATATAACAATGACAAGGCCTGAATTTAAATTTAAATTCTTTAAAACTTTTAAATTTCCGTGCTTGGATGGCCTAAATATACATGTTATTTTATAATTTCATATAGTTCACACAGCAAATGTATTCAGGCATGTCTTGTAAACAGTACATCAAAGAGCATCGCAATTGGTAACGCTATAATGGCGCTAACTTGGCCGACGAGTTGTCCATTTTACATCAGTAGCGTAGCAAGCCTGTCAATTTGTCCCGTTATGCTAATATTTTAGTGTTCACTGACTGTGAAAACAATAGATTTCTAAAGACATGAATAATTATAATAACTAGAAATTTACATAGCGGAAAAAATCGTCAGGCTAGCTACGCCACTGCTTTACATTATTATACATGCAACCTGAAATATTGTAGAGTGCAATTTTTTAACTTACATATATTTCAAAAATTTACATAATCGCTTTCCTCTATTATACGCATAAAACGCACTTTTTTGCTTGAAATGATAAATATACACTCTTGGCGATTATTTCATTCAAAATTGCATGAATCATGGCCCAGCTATGCCCAATGATTGTAAGCGGAATTCGCCAAATTTTAAAACGATTAAATTTAAAT